ATGTAGTAATAGAGCAGTCGAGCCAATTGTTTGCCATCGATTGCTGGATAGATATATTCCTGGAGTCGACTTATTACCTAAACCAAAAAAGTTCTAGAAGTGTAACTTATAAGATTAAACGATTTAAGCAAGGGTGGGTAGTAGCGAAGTAGTTGTAGTTAAATTCGCTACTGTAGCGAACTACAATTTTCAAGTAGCCAGTAGTTTTTGACTACTTTTTTAAAACAGTAGCTGTAGTTATAGCGAACTACATTTTGCCTAAAAGTAGCCAAGTAGTTGACTACTTTTCAAACAGCGAATCGCTATTCGCTACTTTTTAAAATTGTTAGCAACTTGATAGAATAGCATGATATTGAGACACGGCTTGTTTAAAATCAATACTCAATTGCACTCCTGAACACTGTAGTGCTTACAAAAATGTTGCTTTGTGTTTACCGTTTTGCTACTCGTAAGTCGATTTGTTATAGGTTACATTTCAGCCTGAGTTAGTATAGATGCTCCAAATACAGTGAAACTAAAAAATATAGCGTAGCGAGATAGCGAAATAATTCGCTACATTTTTAAGCTGTAGCTGTAGTCAGTAGCGAACTACCTTTATTCAGAAGTAACAGTAGTTGTAGCTGACTACATATTTTTGAAGTAGCTGTAGCGGATTTAAGCTTTATAATTTTATTACACTATGCTTGTGTTGTCAAATATTTTACTGGTTCTATTTTAATGATATCCAATAGCTTACTTTTTCTGGTTGTGCCAAGAGTGTTGTCATTATTTGCCTTTCACTGACACGATCTTGAAGCTGCTTGGTTGACAGTCTGACAAAGAAATAGGAGAAAGTTTAATAAAGAAATTGTTTTCAATTGTTTCCAATTCATTTCGTTGACGCCTCCTGTGGTACGTAAACACAGCACGCTTTGGTTACATTGTATGACTGTACAAAACACAAAACGTACAAACAACAAACTATAAAAGCGAAAAATCTCACAGCCTTGTCAACAAGATGTTTTCGTAGTGCTGGCTTCGAGTTGTTGACAAGTCTGGAACAAGTTGTTATCATCTTGTAACAGGGTTGACGAGGCCAACAGACTCGCAACAAGTTGTTCCAACAAGTCTGACATGGTCTGCACGTAACAATTGTTAACAAATTGATGACAACAAGCTCGTAGCAACTTGTCAGTACAAACAGTCTGTATTAGTCTTATTGGAGCAACATGTAGCACGCTTGTTCAGCCATCAACTTTATAACAAGGTGATAACAATTTGTTCCAGACTTGTCACAGCAACTGGGAACAAGCAGTGCGAACACATCCTGATATCGGCTTGACAACAACCTCGTTTGCAAATCTGTAACAACTTGTGCGGTTTACGTGTATATACGTTCACTTACTCGCTGTCAGTAAACAGCCATTCAAGATGCGACATGAACATTTCCCATTTTGAAATGTCATATCGTTCAGCCAACGCTACCGCGGTCTCGAAAATCTGATCATCAACACTCCTAAAGCGAAGAAAAACAAGAAATCAAGGTGTACTCTGCGAGTAATTATTTAAATAGACAGATAGAGTAAATATTAAATCGAAACATCCAACATACATAGTCAATCCCAGGATGGTTTCTCTCTTGTACTCTTCATCCTGAGTAAATCGACCGATGTCCACTCCTAATTAACATAAAACACGTTTAGGCCGCAATTAATAAGGACGACAGATGCGGTTAGTGCGTTGTCCACGCATAGCACCCTGACGCAACTATACTTCCCGCTACCGTGGGTCGTGGGGTTGGGTAAAATCTAGGACGGATCACTCACGGCTGCAATGCCAACGAAAACATTTTCTGCAAGTGAACGACAGCAAATGTTATGGTTTTTAGAATTTTATCGCAACTATATAAAATTCAGCGCATTCTAGAAAATTCTATCTTCAGACATCATTTCGGTGTTGAAAATAGACCCTATTTCAACATGGCTATCGAATAAATATTCTTTTATGTTATAAATTAGCCTATATGTATTTTCGTCTATATGATCTATAGTAGATAAAGTGAACTGTGATTGTCACTAAAATTAGTAAAATACACTTTCTTTCCTGTAAGACTTTTTATCTCTTACGGTTTTACCTTCCACTTTTTTCTGCCAATCTCAAAAATTTTCTGGGACCAATGGTCCGCTATATTTTGCAGCCCTGGGGTCACTGTCAATCTCTGACTTGATGTACTTAGAAATTCATATATATGCTTTGAGGGTTCTGGTCCTCCGGTATTTTCATTCATCCAAAACTAACCCTTATTTACCAAGAACTTGTATCATAAGCCTCCTCCGACTAGAGTGAATACGGCAACCACACGCCCCCCCCCCCCTCGCTATGTGTACTAGACATTCAAAAAGTTACTTTCATTATTATTAGCATTATTAGCGGATAGACAAACCTCGTCCCAATCCCTGGAGAAGTCTGGCTTGCGCAAAATCTGCGAGTTGCGTGTGATATCTCTTTAAATGAGACGCGAGAAACTTCACATCATCCCCGGTCTCTACACGGCCGCGAATACTGTTGATCACGTGGTCTACTACATGTTCGGGTGGATGCAGGTAAAGTGATGCCTGAGTGTCTTGTACTTGCGGGCTGAGCAGGCTGTGAACTTGTAGAGCGTAATAGTAGGACGCGAGCTGTAGGGTCAGTGCAGAATTTGGAAGCTTTTCAAAACATTCGTACGCATTTGTCGACTGTGAAGATAAAAAAACACCTTGCAGATATGAATATTGCCCCAAGTAATATGGGGTTGTGTTAAGGAAGCTTTACTTCAATTTTCTTCCTCGCTGATCAATATAATTCCTGTTTAGTACTCACCTCGGGCAAAGCAAGTAGGTAGGCCAAAGCGAGTGCAGTGTCCTTTAGAAAACAGTCGTCCGCGAGTTGAATTAGGACTAGAAGAAAATAAGATATTATTATTTAGATAATTTTATCAGTTCTTAACTGTTCTTCCTAGAGGTCCAGTAAGGGTCATCTCTTATTGATCCAGTGCTACTACAGGAGGCAACCTAAACTAAACTAACTTTATTTACACTGGATAGCTCTATCCGTTCTAAACTGTTCTTCCTAAAGGTCCAGTAAAGATCATCTCTTATTGATCCAGTGTTACTACAGGAGGAAACCTAAACTAAACTAACTTTATTTATACTGGATAGCTCGACCAGTTCTTAACTGCTCTCCCCAGAGGTTCAGTAAGGATCATTCTTATTGATGCAGTGTTACTACAGGAGGAAACCTAAACTAAACTAACTTTATTTATACTGGATAGCTTTATCAGTTCTAAACTGTTCTTTCTAGAGGTCCAGTAAAGACCATCTCTTATTGATCAAGTGTTACTACAGGAGGAAACCTAAACTAAACGAACTTTACTTATACTGGATAGCTCTGTCAGTTCTAAACTGTTCTTCTTAGAGGTAGTCACCTTCAGTAGCAGGTTCCTCGATAGATCCTTCAGCTCTTTCTTCTGCCAGTTTCTGAGTTTGAAGAAGAAGTTCACTGATGTGTGTGGAGTTGTTCTCGGTCTTCTCGGAATCCGTGTTGCCCTTTTCCTAAAGAGAACATTGCCATTAAATAATCTAATAAGATTTTTTCAAAAGTTATGGATTAGAGGGTGTTGGTTAAAGTTTTAATGGATATAATGCTGGAAGGATATAACCAGGTATCGGGCATCGACTCACCTTAGCCAATTTCTCTTGAATTGTTTCATAAAATGGATGGTAATGAAATTCCAGTTCTTTATGCGATGTCCCTGTGCTCTGTTCTTCATTTTGATTGGTGGGTTTATGCAATGGTCTAACCCAGTGTAAAGTGTCTGTCCACCAACCTACGTCACTGACACTGGATAAGATTGTCCTCGTTGTTTTGGATATTTGTCCAGTCGTTGTTAGATCGTCCTGAAGTGCATAGAATACTTTATAAATTTATTGTAGAGGTAGTACATGCCCTGTCTTAAAGTGACTTGATGTTGTACAGAACTCACTGCTGAGTTAAAGCATAGTTAGATCATGCAGAGATAATACATGTTCTTGAAAGTGGGCTACCTTAAAATGATCTGATGTTGTACAGAACTTACTGCTGAGTTAAGCATGGTTAGATCATACAGAGGTAGTACATGTTCTTGAATGTGGACTACCTTAAACTGATCTGGTTAGATCATGCAGAGGTAATACATGTCATGTTTATGACAGGCTACTATAAAGTGATTTGATGTTCCACAGATCTCACTGCTGAGTTAAACATGTTGTACAGAAATCATGTAATTAAGATGGATGCTAACGTTCGATAGTGTCACTAGAAGTCACTCCACCTTTACCGAAGAATACACGGAATGACAAGGGTCATTCGTCTCTTTTGATGTAAAAGCATTCCACTTTCTACAAAGATAGAGAGCAACCACAAACATACCGAGTCTAACGGATCCCCTATTTCCTCCATCAATTCACTCAGCTCAAAATAAAGAATCTGCAATGTAAAACAGCGTAAAAAACATTGAAACGTACTGTTTAATTTGGTCTTCAAGAATACACGCTAGCTTCTCCTTCTCGTGTATGATATTTAGCGTAGAAGAAAAATACCGTTACCTTTGTTTGCAATAAACTTCTTGAATGCAACAATGCCTCGATAGCATTCGGCTCACAATGTGCAAGTGAAAAATTCAGTAATTTTTGTCTGAAATAAACGATCAGGTTCAGTATTAAAGATGTCCAAAACATCAGTCAAACATTACCGAATATAGGTGGGTACTAATTAACATTCTCACAAATCCCAGTGCTTCATCTTCATTTAAGCAAATGTTTAAATTCTTATCTTCTATTCGACAACGGGCTCTGACTAGAGCTTGCGCATATGACCTTCAACCCCCCTTCCCGCGTACTGACTCTGGTAAACGAACATTTCTGTACAGCGCTTCCATTCTTTTTAATTGCTTAGATAGCGATTGTAAGCAACTTGCTGCTTCGCCATCTTGCTCTTCATATACTAACGCCAAACAAAAAATTCGTAAAATCTTTCACAACAAGCTTAACCTTACTAACCATATCGAAGATCTATTTTGTATCAATTGTAAATATTTACTAAATTGTAATTGTATTCATCACTAATTTTTGTTTTCTCATATGTAAATAGTCGTAATCTTTAATACTTTTTATGTCTGTAAATATCAAAATAGTGCGAGGGCCGTATGTTAGATAACTTTTATGGTTAATACGTTTTCCCTCGTGAAATAAAGTTTCTATTCTATTCTATTCTATTCTATTAGAGATTCTATTCTATTCTATTCTATTCTGTTCTGTTCTGTTCTGTTCTGTTCTGTTCTGTTCTGTTCTGTTCTGTTCTGTTCTGTTCTGTTCTATGCTCTGCTCTGCTCTGCTCTGCTCTGCTCTGCTATGCTATGCTACTCTACGCTATTCTATTCTATTCTATTCTATTATCGTGCAGCAAATGGTCAGCCTGTAGATATCAGAAGAAATAAAGTCAATTTTTTTCATTATATGCAGTGTCACTAGCAGTGTTGTATTTCGAAGTAAATGGTCATTAAGCCTGCCGCACACGAGAGCAACCTGCCGAGCTAACCGCCTCGCGTGGCAGCTAGCTCAGCAAGTTTCTCTTGTGTGCGGATAGTTTTCGTGAAGATTTGACCTCTCGAGGCCTTGAGGAAAATATCTATCGCGTTTGATATTTTTCACAACGCGAGGAAAGAGTCTCAACGTCTGCGGCTGTTGTGAGCTTAGTGCTGAGCTGCTTGAATCGATTAGCCAATGACAAACCATAGTTTCCTCATGTGACTTGGAACACAATGGAGGAAAATGCAAACGATTTTGTCATTTATGTTGTTGTTGAGTAG